GCTGTTCAGGCATGTATCTGTAAGCTGCACACCTAGAATGACGCAGCAGCAGCAACAGAACTGGAAGCAGCAGCAGAAGACAGCCAGTTCCACTGTGGGGGGCCTGAGAGAAGCCCTCCGGGGGCGCATGTTTGACACCCCTGCTCTACCAGGAGGCCCTGCTGGAGGTGTCTGTCACCCTGTTGTTCTTCAGCTAGGTAACCACCACTGGCTGTGGCCAGGCATCTCCCACAACCAAAAATGTTTTTATGCTATCAGCCCTGACAACCATTCCGACATTTTAATTATTTATGACGATGTTTTAAATCTTAAGTTTTATGGTACTGTATTTACTATATTTGTAAAAATGAAACGTCGTTACCCGCCCTGAGCCCGCTTGTGGGAAGGGCGGGCTATAAATGTGAATAAACGCATGAATAAATAAAGGTTGAGAAACAGCTTTTGCCCTGACCTGGCTAGGCCAGGATAGCCGGAGCGCCCCAGATCTCCGAAGCTAAGAAGGGACAGCTCCGGCTAGGATTTGGTTGGGAGACCCCCAAGGAGTATGAGGGTCAGGATGGGGAGGCAGGGAAAGGCAAAGCACCTCTGAAGGTCTGGTGCCTCGCAAGCCCCATGGCAGGGGTGCCAAACACGTGACCAGGGAGCCAGATCAGGCCCCCAGAGAGCTTCTATCAGGCCCGCACTGTCTCCTGCTTCTTCTTCCAGTTCTGCTGCTGCTGTGTCATAACTTGCTTTGCCAGACTCTCCCAATTGCTCAGGAACATAAGAACATAAGAGACGCCAATGTTGGATCAGGCCAAAGGCCCATCCAGTCCAACACTCTGTATCACAAGGTAGCCAAAAATACCAGGTGCCATCAGGAGGTCCACCAGCGGAGCCAGGACATTAGTAGCCCTCCCACTGTTGACCCCCCCAAGCACCAAGAAGACAGAGCATCAGGAGAGATAGATAGGAGAGCTTTTGTTCCCTGCAGGGGCTGAGGCTCCTCCTCCTCCCCCCCCCCCCGGGGGAGGGGGACAGCGCTTGCTTCCTGGCCAGGTTGCCTCAACTGCAATAAATTCAGAGCAAGAGGTGTCAGACACTGTTAAATAAACAAAATATTGCAAGAATGCTAATGTTTTAAGCATGTTTTTATTTCAAATTAAAAAAAATCTTTAATGGTGTTCGTGTCCTTTATAAAGTTTTTATCTCCGGTACCTGGCATTACATCTTATGACACACACCGCCCGGCCCAACCAGAGACGGCCCTCACAACAAATGAGTTCGACACCCCTGCCCAACGGGTTTCCCATCAGTCAGCTATGACATCACAGCAACCCCCTTACCGAAAACAGCCTTTAATAGATAAATCCTAGAGAACTCTGCCCCATATTTAGTCCAGATTTTCTAACTGGATGGGTGACTAAAATATCCTGTTGCAACGGCTGGCTGACTTTGCCCAAGTTGTACACTTTCTGCCAGACCTACTTCACAGGGGTGTTGTGAAGCTAAAATGGAGGAGGAGATAAGAATGAGAGCCATTCTGGCTCCCCGTCCGAGCAAAAGGCAGGGTACGATATTTGATACCCCGCCCTTCACTCCCCAAAGGTGTCTCATAGCGGCTTACAAACTCCTTTCCTTTCCCCTCCCCACAACAGACATCCTGTGAGGTAGGTGGGGCTGAGAGTGCTCTTGACAGAAACTTTCAAGAACAGCTCTTATCAGAGCTATGGTTTGCCCAAGGCCATCCAGCCAGGTGCAAGTGGAGGAGCGGGGAATCAAACCCAGTTCTTTCAGATTAGAGTCCCCGCACTTCACCACCACACCAAACTGGCTTTCTGAGGCAGGAAAGTGCTGTTCCACAGATAAAATGGGTGGAAAATGCATCCTGCATCCAATCTGTTAAGAATAATTTAAAAAATTGAAGAGCACAACAGCAGAACCCCAGCAACATGGATTCCTCTCCTAAATTACCTTTTCCAGTTGGAGAGTTGGGGCGGGGTCAGTTCAGTAAACCGAGCACCCTTGGGGCTTGGCAAGCAGTTATGAAACCGCTTCCAAAGGAAAACCTTCAAGGTGTTGCCAAGGGAACAAGCATTTATCCTAAACGCAACCGCTTCACAGCCATAACTGAATTATAATTGCTATGAATGCAACAACATTTGCAGAGTCAGGATCTTCAGTGCCCTTCGGAAAGTACACTGAACAAAAGCAAATCCTAACAAGTGGTGCCGGTAACAGCAAGTCCAAAATGTTCACTTAAAGAACTGCAAGCCACCTTCTTCACACAAAAAGTAATTTACACATGGAATTTACTTCCGCAGGAAGTGGCGCGGCCGTGGGCCGGCCACAAGTAGAGACAGCTTCAAGAGGGGATTGGATAAACATCTGGAGGAGCTTCCGGTTTATGGCGACATGCAGGCAGACACATCTCCCGGACCTCCCGGGGATGTAATCTGCACACCAGCGAGTAGGAGGGGGTGTGATGGGTCGCGACCCCCCCTGGGGCCTCGGCAAAAGGCTCCTAGCCATGGGGCTTTTGAGGGGTGGCCTCTTCGCCGGCACGATGCCAGAGAATTGAGGTTCTCCTCCGCCCTGAAGGTCCTGCCGTTGAGTGTCCGAATGGATCTAGAGCCGCTGACCAGGACAAGTGTCGGACATCAAGCATTTTAAACGGATTCCAAGTGAGGCCGAATGGCCAACAACAAACTGTGAGTCAGGCTTAAGTGAATACGAGAATTTAAAAAGAAAGCTAACCCCCCCCCCATGGAGCGACAAAAAGCGAGTGGGGGAGGGGCTTTTCCCAAGCGCATGAACGAAAACACGATATAAGGGGGGAGCGGCAGAAGAAAAAGTGTTTAAATATGCTTTGAGAGACCTACCAGAGCGTGGATACGCATATGGGCAAATTTCAGAGACTTTGGCAACTTTTACAAAAGTAAACAATCCATAAAGATGGTGGGGAAGAAAGCAGAGAAGGACAAACTTGCAAAAGTGAAACCAGTAGGGAGCCCTCGACCAGAAGAGGCCACTGAGTTCTCTAAAATGTTGACAGATTCCTTGCGCCCTCTGATGGACGAGATGAATAACATCAAGCAACAGTTGACAACAATAACTCAGAATTTGGCGTCTCAACAGCTCAAATTGATTGAGTCTTTAAAAATAATGGCGCAAACAGCTGAGGTGAAGAAAATGGATGCCAACACTAAAAAAACTTAAGAAAAAGGTGCAAAAGCTGGAAATGAAACAAGCTGTGGAAGAATCACAACTTTTACAGCTACAAATGGAGAAAGCAAATCTGGTCCTACAGTTTCAAGGGGTTCGAGAACTAAAAGGTGAGAATCTGAAGCAACTGTTGAGTGAAGCATTAGCCCCAGTTACAGATTTGAAAGCGGAATACATTCTTAGCTAAATGTATGTGGTCTATAGGTCCTACTCCATATACATCAAGAAGAATAATCTGCCTGGGGAAATAGAAGTCAGATTCTTGAAGAGGCATGTGAGGGATTCTATGCTGAAAGCAACTACTGGAACACCCTTGAAAATTGGGGACAATTCCATCAGGATTCTAAAAGATATCCCATTTGAAATAAGACAAAAGAGAAATACAAAGATTTAATCCTTTTTCTACAAACAAATGGCATTAGTTACAGATGGTTAATTCCAGAATGTGTCATTTTCAAACTCCACGACAAAAAAGAAAAGATTGACTCTGTTTTCAAAGCATGTGAGTTCCTGAGAGTGCAGCTGGGGGAGCCAGCTGGGGACGAGAGGTAAGAAGATGACAGCAAATCTGATGGCGAACTGGACTTGGTGTCTTCTGACGAGGACTCTCTCTCCGAAAAGGGGGCGGCCGCCCCCAAAAGTCCATACAAATTTGAGGATTAGAAAAGATAACACAAATGAAAGGCTGAAGGACTCTGAATTGTGCCTGAAAATTTTATACTAACTATGGGATGTTCTGGGGGTTTTCTTAAACAGTTAAATTGATATATAAAAAGATAAATAATTTAGCATAACCGGCTATGTTCAAAGTAATACTAGCGATTAAGAATAACATTTATATAAGCTGTTGTTATGATCTCCTATTCTTGGGGTTTTAGTTATTAGTGGTTTTCTTTCCTTTCTCCGTAGTTGTAGTTTCCCCTTCCTGATTTTCTGTTATAGTTTGTAGTTTATTAAAATAATTCAATAAAAAACTCCCCTTAGGGGGACTTAAAAAAAAAAAGGATAAACATCTGGAGCAGAGGTCCATCTGTGGCTATCAGCCACAAGGTATAGGTGGAACATTCTGTCTGGGACAGTGGTGCTCTGAATTCTTGGTGCTTTAAGGGCAACAGTGGGATGGTTTGACTGAGGAAACGAGGCTCTTATGGGTTCTTAATATGGGAGCAATGTAACTATCTGCCCATATTCTGTGAACCTTTGCTCCTTGAGCTCTAAATTCTAAACCATTTAATAGAAATAAAATTATTTGTTAAAGAGAAAATGACACAGGCTACATATAAAAACAATAAAGTATGTAAACTGCAAGTACTATTGAGACAGAAAGGCAGTTTTAATTCTCAGCTTGTGTTTGCATGGGGAAATCAGTCAAATGCCCAGGAAAACAAGAACATTTCAACAAGCTTTCAGTGCTACTAAGAAGAAGAGATTGGATTTATACCCCACCCTTCACTACCCAAGGGAGTCTCAGAGCGGCTTACAAACTCCTTTCCCTTCCCCTCCGCACAACAGACACCCTGTGAGGCAGGTGGGGCTGAGAGAGCTCTGACAGAAACTGCTCTTGAGAGAACAGCTCTGAAAAAACTTGTGACTGACCCAAGGTCACACCAGCAGCTGCGTGTGGAGGAGTGGGGAATCAAACCCGGTTCTCCCAGATTAGAGTCTGTGCTCCTAACCACTACACCAAACTGGCTGTTGGAAGAGAGTCCCACGGTATAGTGGCCCCAGTGAAGAAGACTCAGCATTCGGGACATTTATACAGTTCCTATCTTGTGTGGAATTTGATGGCAGGCAAGATTTCCACTTTGAGTAAAACTCCACACTCTGAACATTAAAATGGTTTCTCTCCCATGTGAATTCTTTGATGTATATTGAGCATTGTGCTCTGACTAAAGCTTATTTCACACTCAAAGCATGTATACGGTTTCTCCCTTGTGGATTCTTTGATGGGAAGTAAGCCCAGATTTGTGAGTGAAGTTCTTTTCACACTTGAAGTATTTATATGGCTTTCTCCTGTGTGTCTCCTACGGGAAGCAAGGTTTGAGCTCTTACTGAAGTTCTTCCCGCATTTCAAGCACTTACGTGATTTCTCTCCTGGGTGGATTGTTTGATGGTAAGCAAGACTTGAGCTGTGACTGAAACTCTTCCCTCTCGGAGCATTTATTTGGTTTGTCCCTTGTGTGGATTTTTTTGGGTGAGAGGCAAGATTTGCCCTCTCAGAAAAGCTCTTTCCACACTCTGAGCACTGATATGGTTTCTCTCCTGTGTGGATCCTTTGATGCATACTGAACATTGTGCTCTGACTAAAGATCTTTCCACACTCCAAGCATATATATGGATTCTTCTGTGTGTGGATTCTTTGATGGGAACTAAGTTTTCCACTTTCGCCAAAGCTCTTTATATAGTTTCTCCCCTCTGTGGCTTCTTCTTCTTCTTGTTGCCATCAAGTCAAGCTGACCTGGTGACTCCTAGTGAGGCTTGGAGGCAAGAGACGTTCAGAGGTGGCTTCCCACTGCCTGCCTCTACATCATCACAACCCTGGTATTCCTTGGTCTCCCATCCAAATACTAGCTAGGGTTAGCTTCTGAGATCTGAAGAGATTGGGCTTGCCTGGACTGTCCAGGTCACGGCCCCTGTGTGGCTTCTTTGATGGCAAGAAAGACGAGAACTACGACTAAAGTTCTTTCCACATTGTACGCATTTATAGGGTTTCTCTCCTGTGTGGATTCTTTGATGGGAAGAAAGACTCGAACTGTAACGGAAGCTCTTTCCGCATTCAGAGCACTTATATGGTTTCTCGCCTGTGTGGATCCTTTGGTGGTAAGTAAGGCTTGTGCTCCGACTAAAACTCTTTCCACATTCAGAGCATTGATGTGCTTTCTCTCCTGTGTGGATTTTTTGATGGGAAGAAAGACCTGAACTGTGACAGAAGCTCTTTCCACATTCAGAGCATTTATATGGTCTCTTGCCTGTGTGGATATTTTGGTGGTAAGTAAGGCTTGTGCTCCGACTAAATCGCTTTCCACACTCAGAGCACTGATATGGTTTCTCTCCCGTGTGGATTCTTTGATGGTAAGCAAGACCTGAGCTGTGACTGAAGCTCTTCCCACACTGGGGACATTTATATGGTTTCTCCATTGTGTGGATTTTTTGATGAGAGGCGAGATTTCCGCTCTGAGAGAAGCTCCTTCCACATTCAGAGCATTGATATGGTTTCTCTCCTGTGTGAATTTTTTGATGAGAAGAAAGACCTGAACTGTGACGGAAGCTCTTTCCACATTCAGAGCACTGATATGGTTTCTCTCCCGTGTGGGTTGTTTGATGGGAATAAAGACCTGAACTGTGATGGAAGCACTTTCCACATTCAGAGCATTTATATGGTTTCTCACCTGTGTGGATCCTTTGGTGGTAAGTAAGGCTTGTGCGCCAACTAAAACTCTTCCCACACTCAGTGCATTGATACGGTTTCTCTCCTGTGTGGCTTCTTTGATGGTAAGTAAGACCTGAGCTGTGACTGAAGCTCTTCCCACACTGGGGACATTTATATGGTTTCTCCATTGTATGGTTTTTTTTATGAGAGGCAAGATTCGCACTCTGAGAGAAGTTCCTCCCACAATCTGAGCATTGATATGGTTTCTCTCCTGTGTGGATTCTTTGATGGGAAGAAAGACCCGAACTGTGACGGAAGCTCTTTCCACATTCGGAGCAGTTATATGGTTTCTCCCCTGTGTGGATTCTTTGATGGGAAGTAAGAACTGCTCTCTGACTAAAGCTTTTCCCACACTCTGAGCATTCGTATGGTTTTTCACCACTGTGTCCTCTTTTGTGTACAATAAGGTGGACATTCTGCCTGAATCTCTTTCCACAGTCTGAGCATTTGTATGGCTTCTTCTCCGTCGGCCACTGTTTACGAAAAAGAATGTTTTTGCTCTGACTGATATCCTTTGCACCCTCTAAAGCTTGGAATAATTCCTCCCTATCCGGCATTCTCTGTTGTGTGCTAAGATCTGATGGGCCAGCTAAGAAGTCTGCACACGTAGGGAATGCAATCCTTTTCTTTCCTCTGTGACTTGCTTCTGGCGCTGTGATCTCATGGCAGTCGGCACCTTCAGGACGGGTGGATTCCTCCCTCCACTTCCATTTCGCTTCAGGTTCCCCTCTTTGCCATTCTTCACTGGTCTCGTTCTCCTTCTCTGTAGGAAATAAAAAGAGAAACCAAATGAATGAGAAATAAGACTAACCTGACGAACTCGTGTTTGGAAAACAGAAAGTCTCAGTGGGGAAACAGCCGATGACTGCTTTCCATGAGTTTTAATTCTGTGACAGAGCAACTGTGTCGCTTGCCAGAAGTCTCAGTCCTTGAGACTTCAGGACCTCGAACAGTAGGGCTGGGAAAGACCCTTTTCTGCCTGAGCCCTGGGAAGCTCCCCACTACTTCGCCTAGGCAATACAGTATAAGTAGGTTCAATGACAGATTCCTATTTTGCTGATATGCAGTATGGGCCAAAGTTACAGACACTTACTCAATAGTTTGGGCCCAAAAGGGAAGTTGAACCGACCATGAAGCTCCCTTTTGTTTAGTAGCAGGGCAGCAGGGAACAAAATGTCAGGTTGTATTCTGACTCAGAAGGAAAGGCCAATTAAGTTTCTATCCCACTTTGGATAGAAGGCCCTCTCAGATCTTGGAGGTCGCAGAAAAACCTATCGAACACTAGAGAGCCAGACTTCCAGTTGATGGCGGCGCGCTAGCAGACTCACCTCCCGGACCTCCTGGGGGTGAAGCTGCGCTCCAGCCGAAGGAGGGGGTGCTCAGGCTCGCTTAGCCCCCAGGGACCAGGCGAAGGGACCCTGGCCATGAAACTTATAAGAGGTTGCCTCTTCGATGGCGAAATGCCAGAGAATTGAGGCGCCTCTTCATTCTGACGGTTCTCCGTGCTGTGAGACTGAATGGACTTAGTGACGCTGACCGGGGCAAGCATAGGAGATCGAGCAGCAGAAATGAAAGTTGAAAGCAAGGTCGAATGACCAATTATGAACGTGAGTCAGCTTTGAAGCGAATGGGAAAAAGTCGAGCAGGGGAGGGACGCTCCCATGCACATGAACTTTTGAGCGATTGAGGGGAGGAGCAGAAGAAAACGCGAAGGAAACTGTCTAGAAGTACTTACCAAAGCGAATCTAAGCAGTCAAGTGCACATTCAGAGACTTTTAAAAAATTTGCGAAAGTAAACAAACGATAAAGATGGCAGGAAAGAAGGACAGAGAAAAACTTTTGAAAGCGAAAGGGTCTGAGAGCCCGAAACCGGAAGCTACCAGTGAGGTGGCAAAGTCTATAGCGGAATATATGCGTCCTCTGCTGGAACAGCTGAATAACTTCAAGGAACAGATGTCTATAGTGACTCAAAGTATTACTGCACAACAAACCCAGATAAACGATATGCTGCAAATAATGAAGCAGGATACCCAGAAGGTGAAGAAAAAAGTGCAAAAGCTGGAAAGGAAACAAACCTCCATGGAAGATCAACTGTTGCAAGTGCAAATGGAAAAGGCCAACATGATTCTGCGCTTGAAGGGCATGCCAGAGAATAAGGGGGAGAATCTTAAAGAAGTGATGAGTGAACTACTAGCCCCTGTGACAGAAATGAAGGCGGAAGCGTTACTGAGCAATATAGATGTGGTCTACAGATCATATTCAGGTTACATAAAGAAAAATAATCTGCCTGGGGAAATTGTCGTAAGTTTCTCGAAGAGGCATGTGAGGGATGCAATCCTGGAAGCAGTCTCTGGAATACCCCTGAAAGTGGGGGGAAATACCATCAGAACGCTAAAGGATATTCCATTTGAAGTGAGACAACGGAGAAGGAAGTACAAAGAGCTCGTGCTTTTTCTTCAGACAATTGGATATAAATGGCTATTTCCAGAAGGCATTACTTTCAAGATCAAGGATAAAAAAGAAAAGATTGACTCTGTTTTGGAAGCTCAAGAATTCTTAAGGGTTCAGCTGGGAAGACCAGAGGATGGGGAAAAGAAGAAGACAGCAAGTCTAGTGGCGTGTTGGACTCGGATTTTTCCAGAGAGGACTCTCTGACAGAACAAGGGCAGCTGCCCCCAAAAGTCATTATAAGCTGCGGAAGAGACGAGGAAAGGAGAAGTGAAGGCTGAAGGACTCTGAATTGTGCCTTTGAGAAAATTTTTAAATGGGATGATTGGGGGTACTGTTCTTAGACAGTTTAAGAGTTAAAGAAAAAGAAAAAAGTAGTATAAATGTTTGACTCAGTTAATAATGATTTAAATGAAGTGAAGATTAATTGTTACTAAGCTAGTGAAGATCTCCTCTCTTGGGTTTTTAGTTAGTAGTGGGGTTTTTTTGCTTTATCCTGTATATGTAGTCCCCCTTCCCATTTTTTCTGTGATAGTTTTGTAGTCATATAAAAAATAATAAAAAATCCCCTCCGGGGGCTCAAAAAAAAAAGAACACTAGAGAGCCAGTTTGGTGTAGTGGTTAAGTGTGTGAACTCTAATCTGGGAGAACCGGGGTTGATTCCCCACTCCTCCACTTTCAGCTGCTGGATGACCTTGGGCAAGGCACAGTTCTGGCACAGCTGTCCTTGAAAAAGAGCAGTTTCTGTCAGCGCTCTCTCAGCATCACCTGTCTCACAGGGTGTCTGTTGTGGGGAGGGGAAGGGAAAGGAGTTTGTAAGCCGCTCCAAGACTCCTTCAGGTAGTGAAGGGCGGGGTATAAATCCCATCTCTTCTTCTTCTCTATTACAATTCAGACACTAAAAATACCATGGGGGGCAACCTTAGCTAGGCATAGTTGGGGAGGGAGCTCGAAGCCTGAACAACTGCAACCCTCCCTGTCTTGTCAATAGCCAGAGTCAAGAACAATGAGGGTCTCTTCTCTAGCAAGGAGGGAGGGGCTGTGGCTCAGTGATAGAGGCTCTGCTTGGCATGCAGAAGGTCCCAGGTTTAATCCCTGGCATCTCCAGTTGAAAGGTCTGACAGTAGGTGATGTGAAAGACCTCTGCCTGAGACTCTGGAAAGCTGCTGCCGGTCTGAGTAGACAAGACTGAGGGTCTGATTCAACATAAGGCAGCTTCACGGGTAAGGCACAGAAGCTCAGTGGACCCTACATCCTACGTCAGGAGAAGAAGTCGCCCTTGTCTGGCTGCCCTATTCCATACAGATCTGCTCCCCCAGTGCTTCCTATTTATTTAGAAAATTTCTGTGCTGCCCCTTCAGAGAATGTAAGACCATAAGAGAAGCCAATGTTGGATTCGGCCAGTGCCCATCCGGTCTAACACTCTGTGTCACACGATGGCCAAAATACCAGGTGGTCCAGCAGTGGGGCCAGGACACTAGAAGCCCTCCCACTGTTGCCCCTTCCCAAGCACCAAGAATACAGTGCATCACTTGCCCCAAATTGAGAGTTCCTATCTATACCTTGTGGCTAATAGCCACTGATGGACCTCTGCTCCAGATGTTTATCTAATTCCCTCTTGAAGCCATCCATGCTTGTAGCTGCCACCGCCTCCTGTGGCAGTGACGTCCACGTGTTCATCACTCTTTGGGCGAAGGACTTCCTTTTATCTGTTCTAACCCCAAATGCTCAGAAATTTCATGGAGTGCCCACGAGTTCTTGTGTTGTGAGAAAGTGAGAAAAGTACCTCTTTCTCAACCTGCTCTATCCCATGCATAATCTTATAAACCTCAATCATGTCACCCCTCAGCCGTCGTTTCTCCAAGCTAAAGAGACCCAAGAACTTTACCCTTTCTTTATAGGGAAAGTGTTCCAACCCTTTTATCATTCGAGTTGCCCTTTTCTGCACTTTTTCCAATGCTATAATATCCTTCTTGAGGTCTGGTGACCAGAACTGTACACAGTACTCCAGATGAGGTCGCACCATTGATTTATATAGGGGCATTATGATACTGGCTGATTTGTTTTCAATTCCCTTCCTAATAATCCCGAGCATAGTGTTGGCCATTTTTATTGCAGTTTATTCCACTTTATTAACCCAACTAGAGCAACTTGCAGTGAGTCTTAAAATGAATCAGTCCAGGAGAAGATTAGAAAAACAATGGCAAAAGATCAAGCCCTTGGGGAGGGGCTGTGGCTCATTGGAAGAGCCTCAGCTTCGTGTGGAGAAGGTCCCAGGGTCAATCCCCAGCATCTCCAGTGAAGAAAAATGACCTGGTACTAAAAGATGTGAAAGACCTGTGCTTGAGACCCTGGAGAGTATCTGCCAGTCTAAGTAAACAGTACTGACCTTGAGGGACCAATGGTCCGGGATAGTACAAGGCAGCTTCATGTGTGCCTAATTAAAAAGAATTTTTTGATGAGAAGAAAGACCCAAACTGTGACGGAAGCTCTTTCCACATTCAGAGCAGTTACATGGTTTCTCCCCTGTGTGGATTCTTTAATGGGAAGTAAGAACTGCTCTCTGAGTAAAGCTTCTCCCATACTCTGAGCATGCATATGCTTTTTCGAATAAAAAATAAACTTTTAGGTGCCAGGCTAAAATGAGAGAAGGGGTAGGATCGAGGGGAAGGACACACGGGAAAAGCCCTGTGTCTGGTCACCCCCTGCTTCATCCCAACATTAGGGACACTCATCTTCTGACAAGTCTCTCAATGTCATGTGGATATTTAGTGAAAACAGAAGACAGCCAGGGGAACTCAGAGCCTCATCGGTTATCACTTGTACTATCTCTTACTTCAAGCTAGAAAAAGTAGAGAGAGAAAATTCCCACCCTACAAGCAATGCTCCCTCTAAGCTGTGGACTCTTGTGAGCAAAAATTCAACTTTGTGAGCCACTGGCTTTAAAGTTATGAGTGAGCGATGTGGCTGCTGTATAAATTAGTTTGCTTTGGAGCCCTCCCTTCCTGAGCCAAGACAAAAATGTGTGAGCTGGAGGCTTAAAAATTGTGAGCTGGCTCACACTAACTCAGCCTAGAGGGAACACTTCCTACAAGTCAGTAGCTACCTGCCGATCTCTCTCCCTCCTCAGAAACCTGTACGAATGGATCTTCCCCTTCATCCAGCCAGGAGGCACACTCAGGTTTAGGAATCACAAGTCCTAGGATGGAGGAGGGAAAACACACGAATTATTTCTTGAACATAACCAAGGCCAGGGCTTTTTGCAGATAAAGTCCTGGCACTTCGCCGCGACCTCCCTGCCACAATTGATACAGTTAGGGAACTCGAGGCCCCTTGCACGTCTTTGGGGCCGGATTTAGAATGTTTTGACTCACTCAGCCTGGAGGAGGCTGACAGGTTGTTCGTATCTGTCCGCCCAACCACGTGCGACTTGGATCCGTGCCCCTCCTGGCTGATTAAAGCTGGCCACGAGGGGTTTCGAGGTGCACTGCGGGAGATTGTTAACAAGTCCCTCTTAGAGGGATGGTTCCCCGGAGCACTCAAGGAAGCGATGGTCCGCCCTCTCCTAAAGAAAGCATCTCTGGATCCGGCCGAATTGGCTAACTATCGGCCGGTTTCCAATTTGCCCTATTTGGGCAAACTTATAGAGAGGGCGGTGGCGGCACAGTTACAGAGCTACCTGGATGACGCCTCCATCCTCGATCCCTTCCAGTCTGGTTTTCGCCCGGGCAACGGGACAGAGACTGTTCTGGTCGCGCTGACGGACGACCTCTGTAGGCATCTGGATCATGGCGGCGTGGCTGCACTGGTGCTGTTAGATCTGTCGGCTGCGTTCGACATGGTCGACCACCAGTTGCTGGCCTGCCGCCTCTGCCGACGTGGGAGTAAAGGGGCTTGCC